GGAGATACTTCCTCCGTTCGAAAATACTTGTCATCAAAATGGATAAAAGGGATGTATTTAGATGTTTTAGATACATTTCTTTTTATCCGTTTTGATGACAAGTATTTCCGGATGGAGGGAGTATGTATGACAAGTATGTAACTTACAGGTCGCTAGCATGTCGTCCAAACTGTTACAGTAACAGTATAATACTAGTACAATGCAGAGAGAAATACAGACCATTGACCATGTGTTCTGTGATTCGCCGAGGGACTTTTGAGACTACAGTCGGACGATTGGACGACTTGACTACCTGCGCTTGCCGGCCGAAATGGACGAAGCTCCTTATTTTACGTTGAGGAGGCCGGCTGATTCCTGTACTCCTGTTCCATTTTCTGTACAATGCATGTTTAGCCTGGCCAGAAAAATCTGCAACCGGTAACAGAGCGTACTTGACCAAACAAACACCCCTCCTGCTTTATTATAGAGAAAATAAGTATGACTTCCTGAAATGATGGGAGGTACCTGTACGAAGAACAAGCCAACAACAATCTATGTCTTTATCAACGTGAAATAAATTACACATTATCTCCAAATTTCAGAGGAAACTTCGCACAAGTATTTTAATCCGTGCGTGCTGTCAGCGTATGCTATGATATCACAGGGAAATTGGCGTAAGACTAAAGAGAGGGGATTAATATGAAGGGATTATTTCAATGGTGAAGACTTGACAATCCTGGATAAACTCAAGGCCAGAGAAAGTCCCCTGCATTTTTTTCTTAAAAGAGGAAGTCCCATGCAGGTTCGATAGGATTTGAGTGTTCTGTAAGGATAATCTTGTGTTTAAATTATGTATACGTAACCTCCATTGAATAACGTTGTCAAGTTCTGCACGGGTTGAGCTAGACAGTGCGGGACGCTGCTCACAACACGCACGAGAGATAGATCGAGGCACCACATTCTCGTAGAGGAGATCCGAAGCTTAGCTGATACCGATGATAGAGAGATTTTATTTGCTCTCTGTAGCCGCTCACAGAATAATATTAGTCATGACTTGGCCGTTTACGGTCGTCGTACCCCTCGTACTATGGTGTGGCTTTTTGCTTGGTTGGACTTTGTTGTAAATTTGGCTATGGCTGAGAAGCCTCCTTGAGTTATGAGATATTTTTTTCCCTGCAAAAAAAAAGTTCTGCACGGGTTGGCAAACGCATCAGGTCAACAGCTACAGCCGGCCGGATGGATAGGGAAATACGATTACCTTTGTAGCCGCCGCTTCCTCCTTCTTCTCCACAAAAAGTTAGGGTTTTTGCCAGTGGCGGTGCCAGAACTGCAGTCTTGTGTAGTCAGTTTCAAATTGTGTAGCCAAGTATATGAATTTTGTATAAATCTTTTTTCAACATTTATGCATGCATATGCTAGTTTCACCAAAAAGTTGGGTAGTCAATTGACTACCCAGCTTGTGTGTGGCTTCGCCACTGGTTTTTGCCTCCCGCCGCCGCCGCCGCAGGTCCGCCTCCTCTCCGATGGCTTTAAGGCCATGGGGGCGCAGTGGATCTCGGCAAGGGTCGGCGGGAGGGCTCCGTTTTTAATCGTTTCTTTCAGTTTTGCTAGGATTTGTGTCCTGCTCAGGAAGACGAGACGGCGGCGGCTCCCTGAAGATGGAATAAAGGTCTCACCGCCTAGCCCCCGTTCCGGCGATACGTCTAGCATCGTTGGTGGGCACGTGGAGGTGTGTCTGCGGCGGATCTATCTTTGGTGGATTTGCTCGGATCTCGTCGTTGTTCGTCTACGTTCGTGTGTCTTTGGATTGAATTTTTCTGATCTACGTTATTCTTCATCTGCGGCAGTTGTTGTTCTGGTGCGCTGGTCCTACGGGGCCTTAGCACAACGACTACACGACTGTCTACTACAACAAGTTGTGCCCGACTCCGGCGATGGAGGGGCGATGACGGCGGTGCGGCTTCGGCTCGCTTCAGTGCTGGTAGTTGTCGCTAGGTGGTCTACGGATCTGGATGTAATTTCTATTATTTCTGGTATTCGTTGTACTGTCATGATTGAAGATGAATAGATTGGAAGTTTTTCCGCAAAAAAAAAAGTTATGCACGGGTTAGACTTTTGTTTAACAAAATTTAGGGGCTGTTTGGTTCTAGGCCTATCATTGTCACATTTTACCACATATTTTTGTCAAGCTTGCCTAAGCTTAGGGCCTGTTTGGTTCCAATAAATCACCTGACTTATAAGTCAGGTGACTTAAAACCAGTGACTTATAAGTCACGCCTGTTTGGTTGTCACCTGACTTATAAGTCATCTGACACACCTTCTCACACCAATCAACATCATGCATGTGGTGGGACCCACGCAAAAGGGGGTGACTTATAAATTTTAGGTTGGGGTGGAGCAACTTATGACTTATAAGTTGGGGTAACTTATAAGTCGGGTCTGTTTGGCAAAATAAGTCACTTTTTTCACTTTTCGACTTATAAGTTGGTGACTTATTTGGAACCAAACAGACCCTTAGGTCATCAAAATGAAAGCCACAAATTGGCAAGCCTAAGGGAATCTTGCCACATTTTTTATGTATATGCCATGTAGGACATAAATGTGGCTTGCCAAAGGTGTGGCTGGAACTAGTCCTGGCCATGGGAAGCCCGGCCCGACCCGGCCCGAAAAAGCCCGACCCTGCCCGGCTCGACGCTGCTCCCGGGCCGGGCTCGGGCCTAGATTTTGAGCCCGACGGCCGGGTCGGGCCGAGCCTGAGCCCATCGATTTTGCAGTTGAAGGGGCCTGGCCCATGGCCCGAGGCCCGTCGGGCTTTTACGTGTTCGGGCCGGGCTCGGACATAAAAACCAGGCCCGGTGGCTGGGTTGGGCCGGGCCCGGGCCTGGGTTTTTTTCCTCGGGCTTGGCTAGGCCCGGCCCGGCCCGAGGTTTGGCCAGGTATAGCTGAAACCAAACACTTGCTGCCTAAGTTGATTAAACTTACCTAACCTTAGATGTGGCAATCTTTGGTAAAGTTAGTCACAAACCAAACATCCCCTTAGACTGAAACATGGAAAGCACTTGTCTAATAACAATGCTAGTTGTGCAACTGAACATTTTGACATAGCGCCCCTAAAAATTGGTGGATGGTGGATACCGGTGGCAATAAAGTTTAACCGCAAGAACATGCGCTCATCACCGGTGTAATTCCTAGCACTTAAACCCAGATGGTCAATGCAACATTTTATGCAGGACAGCACTGAGGCCGCAGAGCAATAGTCAAAGGGAATATGTAGTATGTTCCTAGTGACGGCAGGATCGGATTAAACGGGAAACGCTGACCACATATTGCAAGAAGACGGACACTGTTCGACTTCGACGGCATCCCACGCGACGCGAGTCAAACTTGCGTGCAGAGTGGCCTTGATTCATCAAATTTAATTTCTTGGAAGGACAAGAAATTTCCGAATACACCAAAAGTTCATAGTACTATATAAAAAGTTGAATGAGTTCGTTCCAGGGATAGTAGATAGGAAAGATAGCAATGTAGCACCAGATCCATGCTAGCAAAGAAAAATAAACACTATTCAAATTCGAGCCTCGGCGGCACTATCTCATTTCAGCGCGGATTCACACGCATCCGAGCTGGCCGCGGCTAAACAAAAAGACGGCGACGACCGGCTGGGCGTGTGTGTTCAGGTCACGGGCAAAACACCAAAACAGATCAAGGCAGGGTGTGCCTGGATCAACTCAGCGGGACCTCACCTGCCTACGTCGTCGTAACATGCAGGATCCCACGCACATGCGACGGCAACCGCGATGTCTGTTCGCGAATATGACTAAAACCATGATGCGTTCTTACAGCTTTCTCTTGTTTTTCTCTCCTAACCTAGACAGCTAGATTAATCCTTTCTATCGACACTTCACCGATGAGCCCCGTGAATTCACCTCTCCTCTGTATGCCCCTCCGGCGGCCGGTGGCGGGAGGTAAATCCAGATGCCTCCGCTTCGGTTAGTAGTTTAGATTATGAATTTTTCCCTCGCACGTGCTGCGCTTGGGTGAATGCCAACGCTTCTTCTTGGACTTAGTCCTTTGGGCTTCGATTTCCCTCGAGTTTGTCCATTCGGACGTAGTCGATGGAGGTCTAGGCTACAGTTCTACCGTCTCATTGAGGCGGCGAGGTCAGGATTTCTCGCCATGTAGCGCGATTTGATGTTAGGTACTTCAGATGCATGCAAAAGTTTAATCTAGGGCGTTGGTCTTTGGAGATACTCCCTCTCTCTCAGTTTACAGGGCGTGCACGTACCCTTAGGTCGTCAATTTGACTAACCTAATACAACTCATATATTACAAAAAGTATACCAATATAAACTTCAGATGTTCTAGTTTTAAACGGTATAATTTTTGTGTTATATAGTTTATATTAGGGTGATAAAATTGACAACCTAGTTACACGCACATGACTTGTAAACTGAAACGGAGGGAGTACATGCATGGAGACTTCATGGCTATCATTAATAAATGTCAAGTCAGCTCCGGTAGGGGAGCGGCGACAATGGATCGGTCTGACGATAGTGTGGTCGTTCGATGGTCTCGAAATCTCGATATAAATTTATTATATTTGAAATACTTCCCATGAATTTTTATAATAGACAATTATTTTCGAAAACAATGACTGAAACCATTCATACCGCGAGACACAACTGTAGTGATGTTTTTTGGACGCGCAGAAAAAGCTGGGAAACTCTACAGTTAGACCGGGCACCCAGCCATTTCCCACACATGCACTTAAATATGTCAACTGACCGTACACCGTTGCTGTACTCCACGTTTCCCCGACGATGCCATGAGCTCCGCCTTCCCGGTCTCGCCGTGATCGGCAGGGAGGGAGGAATTTCCCGTGCGCCTTCCCTTTCCCCCGGCCCGCACCACCAACTCTCACCTACGCCGCAACATATACAGAGCCTGCAGGGGCGACACCGTTGATCCTCCCTCCCTCCCTCACCCGATCCAGTCACACAACCGCACTCGCTCTCTCCACCATGGCGTGCCACGACTCTCTCCGGCGCTTCGGCGCCAGCTGCCTCGTCGCCGTGCTGTTTCTCTGGCTCTGCGCCACCTTCGTCTGCAGCGCCAGGGAGCAGCGGCCGCTGCGGGAGCTGGAGGAGCAGGTGGTGGTGAGGAACTACGGCCCGTACGCTTCCTTCGACCGGAGCGACTCGGCCACACTGCAGGTGCTCAAGGACGCCAGCATCAACGGTGGCGCGCTCCAGCTCACGCCGGACACCCGCAACAACGACGCCTACCTCGTCAACAAGTCCGGCTCCGTCCTCCTCAAGCAGCCCTTCACGATCTGGCACACTCTCCCCGACGATGACATCGAGATCCCCGGTGGCGGCAACGGCACCGGCACCGGCCGTGCGCCGCAGCCGCAGGCTCCGCGTGTCCGTATCGTGTCGTTCAACAGCACCTTCTCCATGAACGTGTTCTACGACAAGGCGGTCCCCGGCGAGGGCCTGGCGTTTGTCATCGCGCCCTCGCTCGACAAGCCGCCTCCCGGCAGCCACGGCGGCTTCCTCGGCCTCACCAACGCGACGCTGCAGGCCGCCGGACCGTCCAAGAACCGTTTCGTGGCGATCGAGTTCGACACCTTCAACCAGAGCCACGACCCGAGCGATAACCACGTCGGCCTCGACATCGGCAGCGTCGTGTCCAACGCTACGGCCAACCTCGCCGATTTCAACATCACCATCGCCACGAACGCCCAGACGTCTGCCAACTACACCGTCTGGATCGAGTACAACGGCGTGGGCCGGCGTGTCACGGTGTACATGGGCGGCAAGGGGAAACCGAAGCCGGCGATCCCCGTCCTGATCAGCCCGCTGGACCTCAGCGAGCACGTCCCCGAGCAGGCGTACATCGGCTTCTCGGCTTCCACCGGCACCACCTTCGAGCTCAACTGTATCCTGGACTGGAGCATGTCAATCGAGACCTTCCCCAAGAAGGAGAAGAAGGAGTGGATAATCCTCGTCGCCGTCTTCGGGTCCATCGCGGTGGTCGCCATCGCCATTGCCGCCTTCTTCCTGGTCAGAATGTCGCGGGCGAGGCGGAAGATACAGAGGAGCCAGACGCGGCTGGGGCACACGCTGAGTCACCTCCCGGGGATGCCGAGGGAGTTCTCGTACGAGATGCTGAGGAAGGCGACCAAGAACTTCGACGAGCTACTGCGGCTGGGGAAAGGAGGGTACGGCGTCGTGTACAAGGGGACGCTCCCTGCCGAGCACGGCCAGACGGAGGCGACGGACGTGGCCGTGAAGAAGTTCATCCGGGATGATGCCAGGTGCGTCGAGGACTTCGTCAAGGAGGTGGACATCATCAACCGCCTTCGCCACAAAAACATCGTGCCCCTCATTGGTATGCGCATGAATCCCTCACTTAATTACGTGATCATTTTTTATGGGGAAAATCTATTTTTCCTGCCGACTGTTGGTTAGCAACAGGCACGTACGATCGATTTTTTGATTTTTCCTTCGATCTTTCTGCTCTGCCGACTGTTGCCGAACACACAATCTGTTGGTTGTGGCCATGAGCATTACCAGCTGAGCTGACTACCTGTTCTGTTTCATTTGCATGTTAATTTGTATTTCTACCTTAGTAAATGAGAGCGAGAAAGAAAGACCACAACGTCTTTGATGAGGAGACAAAACCATTTGCTGCAAGTTTTTTAAAGGGCCGATGCAACGTGTTTTGTACTCCACTTGTTTCTTTTTTGTAGTGATGAATGTTTTCTAGAGAAATAAATGTTCCACTTCTATAGAATTCGAACAACGGTCTTTTTCACATTTGTCATATCTCGGAAAATTCTTTTTGTAATGAGATTGATAATTATATGTACCACAAACCTGATAGCTTATGTATAAATATCGTCGTAGCTTTTTTTGAAAAAAAACTAATATAAACATACACTTGGTAACTTTTTTGTATGAATAGTATTTTTTGTATGAATAGTATGATAAGTCAGAAATCGTATACCTGATAACTTATGGACCCCAGTCCCGATAACTTTGGCACGGGGGTGGGGTGGGGGGAGTTGACGAAACATCCCCTCGGTAACTTTCGTGGAACAGCATGGTAACTCACATTTCATAGACCTGATAACTTGTGTGCCCCGGTCCTAGAAACGTTGTCGATAACATCGGCGAGGGTGGGGGTGGGGGGGTTGTTGAAACATACCACTTCTGTGCAAATAACATGATAACTCAAACATTGCGGACCCGATAACTTATGTACCCCGGTCCTGATGACTTGATCGGCGAGGGTGGGGGTGGGGCAAGTCGCTGAAACATGCCACGGTAACTTATGTGCAAATAACATGATAACTCATATATGGTACACCTGATAACTTATGTACCCGATCCTGGTAAATGTGGCGACTGTGGTGAGGGGGGGACCCGGTAATTTCTATGTAAATAGCATGGTAATAGAGACATACAAAGTTCATAACTTCCATAGAAACGCCACTGTAATTTTTGACCAGATTTTTTTTGTTGAAAAACATACACCCAGTATTTTCTGTGTAAAAAACATGATAATGTATACATCGCACACATGATAACTAATATCTTACGTTTTAAACACCACGGTATCTTTCATCCAGGGGGGAAGTTTTTGAAACATTTTCACCAGTAATTTCTATGTTAAATTACCATACTTCCCCATGCATTAACCTTCTCATACTGTAGTTACCAACCTTATCATGGTATAGTTATCATGTTGCTCATACCATAGTTATCCGCTGGTCATGCCAAAGTTACCAAGTCAAACTTTTTTTTTCTGATATGACAGAAATAAGAAAGGTTTAAATAACGTTGTTTATCTACAATAGACAATATAACAACAGGTGGCTTAGTTGATTATTAGGCTCAACAGCAATTGCATAGACCTGGGTTCAAATCCTCTTTCAAGCACCTTTATTTTCTTTTCATATTATGCAGCGAAAAATCAGAAAAAACCACTAGCGATTTACTACGGTTTTTGAGAGAAGGAAAAAAATCAGTGAAAAGCGAGCGTGAGAAGATAGCGCATCGATCGCTAACTATCGGGAGAAGTGGATCGGACTCGTGCGGATCTGTTGCTAACCACCAGTCGACTGATGGTTAGCACAGTCCTTATCAGCCGAGACTTGACTAGGAAAATGATGGTTTAGTCCTAATCAACCATTCTCTAGTTAGTTTTGCTGCTTCCCTTGTAGTACTACTATTTTAAGGCATTGACAAGTCCAAATAATGGAGTAGAGGCCAGTACTCTATTCAGATCATAACGCGTTTATGCAATCGTTAACGCGCTACCAAACGTAGCATTGTCACTTGCTACACGAAACGTGAATGATCAAATGTAGTTATATTTCTGGTCTATTTGAATTTTCTACGACCAACGTGCAACAAAAATACTCCTAGTATCGGTTAGGTGATGGTTCTGAACGTGTGCTTGCATTTTTGGTGCAGGTTGGTGTTACAAGAAAGGGCAACTGCTGCTCGTGTACGAGTACATGCCCAACGGCAGCCTCGACCAGCACCTCTTCCGGCGCGGGGGCGCCCAGGAGCAGCGGGCGGCGCCGCTCAGCTGGGCGAGCCGCTACGGCATCGTCGCCGACGTCGCCTCGGGCCTGCACTACGTGCACCACGAGTACGGCCGCACGGTGCTCCACCGCGACATCAAGGCCAGCAACGTCATGCTGGACGCGTCCTTCTCCGCCCGCCTCGGGGACTTCGGCCTCGCCCGCGTCATCGACTTCGACCGGAGCTCCTTCACCGACATCGGCGTCGCCGGCACGCGCGGGTACATCGCGCCGGAGTACTCCGTGGGGCACAAGGCCACGAGCCAGACGGACGTGTTCGCCTTCGGCGCGCTCGTGCTGGAGGTCGTCACGGGCCGCACCGCGCTGCGCGACGACGCGAGCTGCCCGCTGCTGGTGGACTTCGTGTGGCGGATGCACGGCCGCGGCGCGCTGGTCGGGGCGGTGGACCAGGACCTCGGCACGGCGGGGTACGACGCCGACGAGGCCACCAGGCTGCTGCTCCTCGGCCTGGCGTGCAGCAGCCCCAACCCCGGGGACAGGCCCACCATGCCGGAGGTGCTGCAGATCGTGTCCAAGAAGGCGCCGCCGCCTGAGGTGCCGCTGTTCAAGCCGAGCTTCGTGTGGCCGCCGGAAGGGGGAGCGGCGCAATTCAGCCTGAGCGACATCGAGAGCAGCGGTGGCAGCTTCACCGGCACAGGCAATGGTTCATCGACGCGCGCGACACAGGAGTCATCCTACGACAGCTTCCGGCAGCCGCCCTCAGCACCAAACAACAGCCAGGAGTACTTCCCAGCGCTGTCCTCCGGCCGGTGACGAAGTTAACATATGTAACTGTAAAACTGGCCATTATAAGGTAATCACAGTAAATGTAAATACATGTAGGTAATACGTGCTTAGTACAATAGTACTGCAATTGGTTTCATTAGTTTGCCTGAGCCGGGGAAGTAGAAGAGTGGGAGGTAGGTGCTGCTCTGGCAAGCAGGAGATTTTAGCCTTGCAGAGCCATATGGCAAAGTTCACTGCAGATCGACGAGTCCAAGTGAAGCCTAAGTGTCTAATGTGTAGTATCAACTAGCTAGTCTTATGATTTTCAGAAGTGAGGCTGGTGTTGTTAATATGCTTTGGTTATTTGTTTTGGTTTCTTGAGTAACAAAAGATCGAAACAAATGTGTGTGATGATGCGAAGAGGAGAAGTGGAAAATCGTGTTAATTCAGCATGTATTACTTTCTGTATGCCACATCTATCATTTCTTTTCAAAGGGAATGTGATCACTTTCTTAGCTTTATTTTTGAATGAACATCCTTTTTATTAGTGATAAAATGGACATTCGATCACTGACTCCCTCTTCGGCCTGCAAAAACAACCATCGAATTTTGAACTTCCGCTTTTAGTTTTGAGGCAATTTTTTAACTTCCGTGACAGGTTTCGACCAACTGATCATGGGCTCAACTTTTTTTTTAAGGGCTGATCATGGACTCAACTTAAACCAAGCTTCCTGCTGCCTGCTCTCTCACAAAGTAAAGATGGGCCTATGGGCCATCGCATCCGGACATCCACCTTCCTCGCTAAGGGCTCCTTTGATTCAAAGGAATTCTATAGGATTTTTGGAGGATTGAAATTCTTTGGAATTTTTCCAACGTTTGTCCTTTGATTCATAGAATTGAATCCCATAGGAATTTTTTCAATGAAATCTTTTGTACAAATTTCATAGGAAATCTAACATCTACTCCAACCTTTTTTTTACAATTCCTTTACTTTTTCCGTGAAATCAAACACTCCTTGCTAATCCTACAAGATTCAAGTGAGCATGACACTCAAATCCTATACTCTTTCTATTCCCGTGTTTTCAAAATCATGCGAATCAAAGAGGCCCTAAACGGGTGAAATAGAGGGTGTTTTCTATACAGCGCTTAAGGCGCCGGTTATAGGCAAACTCGCCAACCGGCGCACACCCCTCCCTTCGCCCGGGACGGCTCATTTTACACCTTTTTCTTCTCTTCTGTTAAGATTGAAAATATCTGCGCCCTACATGATTTGAACTCAAGACCGCAGGCATCGTACAAAGCGCGACAACGAACAGGACACCTTAAATGCCATGACTTTTATTCTTCTGCTTCATAACACTAAAAATGGCAATGTTTTCCTTGTTTTGTTTTGTTTTGTTTTATTTTTGGTTTTTGTTTTGGCCGGTTTTTCTTCTGTTCCTAAAATACATGAACTTTTCTTAAGTGTGCAACCTTCTTTTCAAATCCGTGAACTTTTCTTCACATTTGTGAAAAAATTTAGAACCTATTTTTTTTAAATAATATGTGAACCTTTTTTTTAAGAACACATGAAATTTTCCTCAAATTTGTGAAATTTTTCTCAAACCGGTGAACTCTTTTTTCAAAATCCATGAAATAGTTCATAATCGATGAATTTTTCAATTTTGTGAACTTTTTTAAGATTCATAAACCCTTTCAAGTTTGTGAACCTTTTTTCCAAAATCGATGAAGTTTTTTGAATCAATGAACTTTTTTTCGATGAAAATTATTCCAAATTTGATTATTATTTTTTCTAAATCAATGAACGCTTTTCGAAATTGATGAACTTTATTCCAAATTCGATGATTTTTTTTAAAATCAATGAAAATTTTCAAATCAGCTATTACAAATTTAATATGATACCAAATCAGCTATTCTATCATTTAATTGTATGTCATCTCAACAGATAGTTAGCATGCAAGGTACTGCTTATAATACTCCCATTGCGGTCAGCCAAATGAGACTTTTTGTTTGCATGTTGATCTATAAAAATATAACTTTCGTTTAGTAAAAAGTGTAACTTGTAGTTTTTTGAACAATTATATTTTTTGAGAAATACTAGTTGATTTTTTTCGAATTAGAGTTGTATTGTTCGAAAACCAACTTAGACATAATAAAATAGCAGAGGATTTAAGATTAGCAAAACAAAGAAAATCAAAGCATCACGATGAGGCGGTGCCACCACCATTGCCGGTCCATGCCGGCATCATCATGGGCGAGGCGCGGGCGCACTTCATCGACATGATGGTGGAAGAGCGGGAGATGGTGTTCCGGCAGGCGCATGCCGACCAGAGAGACAACATCCGACTCCTCGACAAGCACCATCTCGGGGAGGGGCAAATAGCTGGCACATGCATGGTGGCGGGCATGGACGTGGATGAGCAAAAGAGGTTGCTCCTGTCCTACCGCATCGCCCGCAATATCCGTGGCGAGCGATGGTAGCTCCGCGTACTTCAGGTAGAGAAAGAAGATGTGTTCACAAAGATTGACGTGGCAGCAGAGGAATTTGATGTCGGCACCAACGACGTCACCAGCTCCACGTCGGTCATGACCCGTCGCCCACGATGATGAGGCAAGCACGTCCACGGCCGCCGCCGATAGTAAGAAAGAGTATAACATGGGAGGCCACTGCCGCTTGGGTCCGAGGAAGGCCACCGTCACCTCTTGTCGGGCCTCACAACCAGTGAGCTTGTCTGCTTCTCGGAGGTGGAGGCCATTATTCTTTCCCGGTGAAGCTTCACTTCCCAGGGTTCACGGTCGTTCGGTGAGCTTGCTGCAGAACATGGGGAAGACATGTGTGGGGAACGGGCTGCACTGTGGCTGGCGATCATTTTAGACTAGGTTAGAGCATCTCTAGCAAACCCCGCATAAGCGGTCAAACCCGCAAAATAACCGCTTTTTGCAGTTCCAGTCAAAAAATGGGCCCGAATAGACCCCTTAAAATCGTCCGACCCTTAAATTTTTTAAGGGACCCTGTATATGCAAAGCCGGAACCCTTATATCTGCAGCTTTGAAGGTGATTTTATCAGGGCCTACATATCGTCAACGTTGGCGGTTGAGGAATCGCTGCTCCCGCCAACGCCATGAAGCTTGCCTGGCCGCCGCGCCCGCCTGCCGCCCGGCCGCTCATCCACCCGGCCGCCGCGCTTGTCCGCCGCCCGTCTGCCTGGCCGCCTGGCCGCCCGGCCGCCGCGCCTGTCCACCGCCTGTCCGCCCTGTTGGAAATATGCCCTAGAGGCAATAATAAAAGGGTTATTATTATATTTCCTTGTTCATGATAATTGTCTTTTATTCATGCTATAACTGTATTATCCGGAAATCGTAATACACGTGTGAATACATAGACCATAACATGTCCCTAGTGAGCCTCTAGTTGACTAGCTCGTTGGTCAACAGATAGTCATGGTTTCCTAACTATGGACATTAGATGTCATTGACAACCAGATCACATCATTAGGAGAATGATGTGATGGACAAGACCCAATCCTAAGCATAGCACAAGATCGTGTAGTTCCTTTTGCTAGAGATTTTTCAATGTCAAGTATCTATTCCTTAGACCATGAGATCGTGTAACTCCCGGATACCGTAAGAGTGCTTTGGGTGTACCAAACATCACAACGTAACTGGGTGACCATAAAGGTGCACTACAGGTATCTCCGAAAGTGTCTGTTGGGTTGACACGGATCGAGACTGGGATTTGTCACTCCGTATGACGGAGAGGTATCTCTGGGCCCACTCGGTAACGCATCATCATAATGAGCTCAAAGTGACCAAGTGTTTGGTCATGGGATCATGCATTACGGTACGAGTAAAGTGACTTGCCGGTAACGAGACTGAACGAGGTATTGGGATACCGACGATCGAGTCTCGGGCAAGTAACATACCGACTGACAAAGGGAATTGCATACGGGGTTGATTGAATCCTCGACATCGTGGTTCATCCGATGACATCATCGAGGAGCATGTGGGAGACAACATGGCTATCCAGATCCCGCTGTTGGTTATTGACCGGAGAGCCGTCTCAGTCATGTCTGCGTATCTCCCGAACCCGTAGGGTCTACACACTTAAGGTTCGGTGACGCTAGGGTTATTAGGAAGACTTGTATGTGATTACCGGAAGTTGTTCGGAGTCCCGGATGAGATCCCAGACGTCACGAGGAGTTCCGGAATGGTTCGGAGGTGAAGATTTATATATGGGAAGTTGTCATACGGACACCGGAAGGTTTCGGGGCCATATCGATATTGTACCGGGGCCACCGGAAGGGTTCCGGGGGTCCACCGGGAGGGGCCACCCCTCCCGGGGGACCACATGGGCTGCGTGGGGCAGGAGCCAGCCCCTGGAGGGCTGGGCGCCCCCCCCCTTGGGCCCATGCGCCTAGGGTTGGGGGGGGGGAACCCTAGAGGGGGCGCCCCCTTTGCTTGGGGGGCAAGTCCCCCCTCCCTGGCCGCCGCCCCCCTCTAGATCCCATCTATAGGGGCCGGCCCCCCTTGCCCCTTCCCCTATAAATAGAGGGGTGTGGGGAGGGCTGAACACCCAAGCCAAGGCGCAGCCCCTCCCCTCCCCAACACCTCTCCTCCTCCGTTGTGTGCTTGGCGAAGCCCTGTCGGAGTACTGTCTCTCCACCATCATCACACCGTCGTGCTGCTGCTGGAGCCTTCTTCCTCAACCTCTCCTTCCCCCTTGCTGGATCAAGAAGGAGGAGACGTCGTCCGTACCATACGTGTGTTGAACGCGGAGGTGTTGTCCGTTCAGCACTTGGTCATCGGTGATCTGAATCACGACGACTACGACTCCATCATCACCGTTCCCTCGAACGCTTCCGTACGCGATCTACAAGTGGTATGTAGATGCAAACTCACTCCCTTGACTCGTTGCTTAGATGAACTCATAGATGGATCTTGGTGAAATCGTAGGAAAAATTTTAATTTTCTGCAACGTTCCCCAACAGTGGCATCATGAGCTAGGTCTATGCGTAGTTCTTGCACGAGTAGAACACAATTTGGTTGTG